GAATATGCCAGACCTCAAGGTCAATCCTTGTAGCATATCTGTATTAGATTTTTCACGCCCAGCAATAAAATGTATGGTTATAGGGTGGGGATCTCAACTGTTTCCATGCTGTGACTCAGAAACTAGGTCCCTAGGGCCGTGGTCAGACCCCAGGATCAATTCAAAAGTGGGTCAGCCTCACCATTTGTACAATTTTGAATCACCACCACCTAGGGATGCTTCCAGTCAAATATGGATGATATCCATCGCTTAGTTCCAGATAAGAAGTCGCTTAAAGCAATACAGCCAAATTGACCCCTTTTGGCCCCATCCCTCAGCCCCCTGGGGGGTCAGCCCCACCATTTGTACAATTTTGAATTTCCACCACCTAGGGATGCTTCCAGTCAAATATGGTTGAATTCCAATCAGTGATTAACTTAAGAAGAAGAAGAAGTTGTTTAAAGAAATTGTTGACGTAGAGACGGACGACAGAAGACGGACGCCACGTTATGGCATAAGCTCACCTTAGTCCTTCGGACCAGGTGAGCTAACAAGAATCTCCATCGGCATGCATTGCTCATCTGCTATTATTCTAACATTTTAAAGCCTACATAAAGCTATAAGATAAATGTCCTTACCTATGACTCTTGGTTAATAAAAACAGCCTGTTACAAGATTTTAACATTTTACCCTAGAGACCTTGAAAGTCTAACAAAGTCACTCAGTTGAACAAACTTGGTAGCTCTTAATCCAAAGATTCATCACCTTGTGACTCTTTGGTAATGAGACTAAGTCGTTTGACCTCTGTGACCTAGAAAGTGGGTCAAGATCATTACTTCAAAACATTGGTCAAATGTCATCAATCTAAGCCTCTTGGCTATTCAGAAGAAATAATTAAAAAAATGTTTAGCACATTTGACTCCTGTGACCTTGAATGTTAAGATAGGCTGTTAATTGGAACACAAGTGATAGCTCCTGATTCTATCATGCTTCTGGCCAAATAGTATCACACAAGGCTTCTGGAAATTCAGAAAAAGACATTTCAAGATGTTAACACCTTTGAACCCTGTGACTTTGCAACTAGGTCAAGATCATTTTTATTCCCAAATTGTTGGGCTCCATCTAAGGAAGCTACATGTAAAATATCAAGACTCTATGTCTTTCAGTTCTTTAAAAGAAGTCATTTACAGGTTTTGACATATTTATTCCTTGTAATGGTCGAGGTCATCTTCATTTGCAAGCTTTGCCGGGTCCTTCACAGGCGGCGGCAAGCCAAATATTATGATTCTATGCATTTTGGTTCTTAAGAGGAAATTGTTTGAAGTGCTTAACATATTTGACTCCTGTGACGTTGAAAGCAGGTACATGTCATTTTAATTCTCAAACTTTGTCGGCCTCCAACCTAGAAAGCTACCAGCCAAATATTATGCTTCTATGCCTTCGATTATTCAGAAGAAGCCGTTTGTAGTGTTGACCTATCTGACCCCTGTGACCTTGAAAGTAAGTAAAAGTAATTTTCATTCTCATACTTTGTCGAGATCAATCCTAAGAAGCAACCAGCCAAATATTATG